TAAAAACATGTGTCTCTGAAGAGAAAGTTTTATTTACCAGTGGGGAATCTCATGATTTTCTCTGAGCCCAGATATTTTAATTAGGATCGTATGAAGTTAAGAATAATAGCAGAAGCAAACTGCATTTTTTATTTTTAATTAACTGGTAAGTTTTAATTGTGAAAGTTGACAATGAAATTCGTTTGTACACATTCTGTGTACTGTTGAAGAATAGTGGTAACCCTTGCCAGCTAATGCTGCTCATTATACAGTGACCCAACTAATTTTCCCATCCAGCTCTGAGGTAGCATGAGAAAGCTAAAATACTTATATAACGCCTCAATTATTCACCTAAAATGCTATTTTTCCTCAAATTACTGTTTTATTTCAAATAAAATCACTTGAGCCCACATCACATGGTAACTACTACTTACAAACTCGTAAGACTTAAGACCGCATAAAACCAATTGCTCACCCACCATGGCTAGAGAGTCTGTTTTTGTCTTGAAGCTTACAGTACCTTACACAAAATACTTACTGAATACCCAAAAGCACCATCCATACCACATTCACAACTGCACACAAACAATCACGTATACAGGCACATTAACACTCACTGTTATTTTAATAGGACGGCACCTCCTCAAGCTGACTTTGTTACTCATCATCATTTTCTCCATTAGTACTTTTCCATGTGTCAAAATAAGGACTGACACACCGATTCATCTTTTCCCCCTGAGCTTTCCGTGCCGGTCCAGCTGTGGTGAAACGTCTGTCTCACTGAAGATACACCAAAGGCCTTCCAATCACACTTACCATCCCAAATTACATTATAAAGGGAGTTGAGTGAATTCAGGTCTCATTTAGATGGTGAGCTGTTCTTCAAACGTCTGAAATGTCTACATTGCTCCTCTCGCCTGATGTCATGTCTGAGTTTCAGACCTCTGATCATTCTCTCCAAACCAGGAAGATCTGAATGTTCTCATCCACATTTACCAAATGAACTAAGACCAGACCCAATCATGGTGACAGAATTAATTTGATTTCTGAACATAGAACTTGAAAAATAAGGGGTTTTATTTTGTTTCTGTATTGGATATTGTTTTGAAGGACAACTCTTAACAAGACCAGTCAGTTTAGACCAGTACAAATTCCCATGGCAGTCCAGGCTGGAGTGGAGATGGTCAAGCAGGTGTGTGTGTGTATATATATACAGTATGTGTGTATGTATAAAATATAACATATATATATATATATGAGAGAGAGAGAGAGAGAATAGGAACACCGGAACATAGTAGACCTGTATCCAAAACATGCTACCATTTTTAGTAGAGAATATAGTTTTAGTTTTTTTCCTCTAGTGGTATTAATAGCTGTGTCGTCAATTGCAGAATATTTTCAATACCTAAACTCCAGCCTGTAAGCAAACACTGTTTGGTTAGTCTGGTGTGTTGGATGGTTGGCACTGGTTTGTGGGCAGCAGCCTTCATTCTGCCAACTGCTAAACAAAAGACTCCATCCTGATGCCTCAGAAAACAGGGTGGTTCCACCCTGTGATAACTCTGAAGAGTCAGATTTACTTCTGCTCCGCCCCGTAATAAATGTGTGAGAGTGTAATTAGAGAAATGGAAAGGGTATTTGTGTGTCTGGATTTCTTCTTAGACATAAACAGATGCGTGGCCAAGTTCCTTATGTGGTCAGGCCTGCGCTGAGTAATCATTACCTGTCAGTGGCCAGTGCAGTTAGAGGGATTTTTAGGAAACGGTGACTTTTTTTTGCAGGCATGCTATCTAATTTATCAGAGATGACCCTAGGGTGACCATACATCCTCTTTTTCTCGGAAATGTCCTGGCCGGGATTTCTAAATTACCTAAATTGTCCAGGTTATAGGTGTGTTCGGCTTGAAGCGGCACTGCGCAGATCAATCGGTGTGTGACAACAAAGTACCGCGAGAGCGTTTCGACAGCATGCAGAGTATCTGCTCTCTATAGCTTTCGTAGTACTTTGATGTCAACATTGTCAAAACAATCCCTTTTCACATGACATGTGACTAAATGACTAAAATTGCTGTATTATGCATGCCAGGCCAGTAGATGGCGATGTCAATTTATAAAGAAACACTACATGCCTGCGCACATGTATTCCTATAGACTGAACATGTAATACGCATGCGCATGATGTATACGCATGTACATTTTCATAATTCACACAGAGACACTAACAGTATAGTTTTCAAAAACTTGCACTTTGAAACCAATTTTCAAAAGCTTAACATGCTACCATTTTTAGTAGAGAATATAGTTTTAGTTTTTTTCCTCTAGTGGTATTAATAGCTGTGTCGTCAATTGCAGAATATTTTCAATACCTAAACTCCAGCCTGTAAGCAAACACTGTTTGGTTAGTCTGGTGTGTTGGATGGTTGGCACTGGTTTGTGGGCAGCAGCCTTCATTCTGCCAACTGCTAAACAAAAGACTCCATCCTGATGCCTCAGAAAACAGGGTGGTTCCACCCTGTGATAACTCTGAAGAGTCAGATTTACTTCTGCTCCGCCCCGTAATAAATGTGTGAGAGTGTAATTAGAGAAATGGAAAGGGTATTTGTGTGTCTGGATTTCTTCTTAGACATAAACAGATGGGTGGCCAAGTTCCTTATGTGGTTAGGCCTGCGCTGTGCAATCATTACCTGTCAGTGGCCACTGCAGTTTGAGGGGCACGTCAATTGACGTTCAACAACGACTCTGGTATTTCCTTCACCAAACAATGATTTCCTAGTTTTTACCTTAAATGGACACCATGAATGTAAAAAATTTGATAGCTGTTTTAGGAATTAAACATCTTTAGGTAAACCCTTCTTAGACTGATTTCCTGAAAAGTGAAACTACCTGTTTGTCAGAACAACTGACGATTTGGTAAGTGTTACACTTTTTTCGAAGCTTTAAGTATTTTTGGAATTTCATTTGGTCACAAAAAATTACACACAGTGATTTTAAAGGGGGTCATACGGGGTCATATGTGACGTCACACAGACAGGCATCTGAGATCGGCTTGATTTGAGAAAGGGGTAAATATTTGAGCAGATTAAAAAAAAAAAAACACTGGGTGTATTTTTATCATTTTAGGGTGATTGTGTACACAAACTGCCAACACACATTTCAGTTCAAACAACTTGTAAAAGTGCATGTAGCATCATATGACCCCTTTAAAGCTTTACTAACATAACATGACATGTTAAACCCATCGGTAAACTGTGACTGTCACAGTCTTCAGCTGGTGTGCCCAGAGTTACTCCACCTGTGTCCCCCTCGTTACCCTCCTAGTTTGTTTCCCTATTTATTCTCCTGGTTTCTGCAGTCCTGTGCTGATCGGTTGTTTTTCGTCAGTTGTGCTCGTGGTGTGTATTATGCCTATCCGTATTGTTGTTCCTAAATGTATGTTCCAAAAATGTAAGATACGTTTTCAGTGAACTTTTTAAATTTGCTTAAGAATGCGTGAAAATATACGGTTAGGATGGCAGTTATGCAACAATTGTACTAAAAACAAAATGGTTTTTCCTTTGGGTTTTTGAAAAGTTTGGCATTCAGATGAAAAACAATCCCCGTTCACATGAAATGTGACTAAATGACTAAACCACTGCATTATGCATGCCAGGGCAGTAGTTGCGATGTCACTTTGTAACCAAGAGACGAAAGATGAAGGAAAGGAAAAAGATCTTACACTTCAGCATCAGAGGGCATATCCGCCACCTTCCTTTGCTATGGCAACTTTCAAACTTTATGTAGTTTGTGTGGTCTACACTGAAGGTGCGTTCACATTGACAATGATTTGCAGTTACAAAGAATCCCAAAGTCATTCATTTTCAGTGACAGTTGGAGCGGATCTGAGATAGAAACTACTGATACAAGTATAACTGTAAGCGTGACTTTTATTTTTTGATTATAAAGAGTTAGTCGCTTTGCTCACTTGTACTGTTACGATTTATTTTAAGGTTAAAACTCATCTCTGATTCCAGTTAAAATGATTCAGCTGCATGGGAGGAACTACAGTATCAGCTCCCCCGTACATTCCTTTAATTGTTACGGTAAAATTCCAACATCTCATCAATCTCACTTAAAGACGGGTTCAAGTATGTGTCACTGACCATGTATCATAGATTGTGTAAATCTGCTTCTTGTTTACATGTTCTCTCTGCCAACACTTTAAATTCTAATCTGTGCTGATTGATTTTAAGGAGACTTGCATGGTTTGACAGAACAAGTGTCATGTGATGGGCATGTTAGTGCTCACACATGTACTATATTACATTAGTATGGCAATCGGAATGTGAATGTTTCAAGGCATGTCATATTTGCTTAAGTGTAAAAAGGAAATGTTGATTTTTCTAAAGCTGCACTGTATTTTTACATGTTTAGCAGTTAACTTATTGGACGGTTCCCAATCTTGACCTGGCTTGATCATATTTTTGTTTTATAAAAAAAAAAAAAAAAAAAAAAAAAAGCAAAATGCATTTGTTAACTGAATATAGACAGCCATTTCTCTTTAAAAACATATTTTATTATTTCAACAATTTCAAAATAAGTTAAGAGACTGACCTGGCTGAAACATTTGTAAGGAACGAGAATGTAAAACATTTTACATCTCCGAGACATTTTCAGTTCAGAAAATAAGGCATTATTACATTGTATTTTACAGTAAAAACACCTTCAGAAAAACTTTGTCCACAAAAAAAAAAAAAAAAAA